GTTCCACAGCCGAGGAGCCACCACAAAATACAGTTGAATTGGCTTATGACAGTGATTTAACACTTGTTACAGAGCATGGCGTATGGCTACACAGCAAAGGCATATTACTTTTCTAATAGATTTCTTGAAAAAAGTCATGGGAAAGCAATTGAATGATGATGTCAAGATTGTTCTGTAACAGACCCCCTGAAATGCACCTTTTCCCCGCAGTGGTTCTCAGTCTTTCATCCTCCAGATGTTTTGGACTTCGGCTCCCACAATTCCTAACAGCTGGTAAGATGGCTGGGATTTCTAGGAGTTGAAGTCCAAAACAACCTGAGGGCTAGGGGTTTGGGAACCACGGTTCTAAAGGAATTCCTGAACAGGGGGAAAGCAAATTGCTGGTTCAACCAGTTTAACTTGCAGTGTCAATATTCCCAAAAGAAAAGGGCAGAGGTCACGTTTTCAAAAGCCTGAATGCAGAAACAGGACTTTTAAGCTGGACAGAAAGAAAGTTTCAAAAGCTTTCCCCTCTCTATAGTCTGTAGACCAGGCTTGAATTTACCACTTGGCCTGGTGAATTCAAGTGGGTGGTTTTGGGCAGATCCCACTCTCTCAACCTCAGATGAAGGCAAAGGCAATCCCCACTGAACAAATATTTCCAAGAAAAACCCATGATAGGGTTGCCATAAGTCAGAAGCCACTTGGAGGCACACAACAATTCTACCAACTCTCCCAAACCACTACAAAATCCTCATCTCCACCTTTTTATGCAGATCAGAGACCAAAACATTGACTATAATTTATTTATTACCTTGTTTTATTGATACCTCACCTTTCTTCCCACGGCGACTCAATAATAATAATAATAATAATAATAATAATAAACAACTTTATTTTAAAACTGCACTATCCCCCTGAAGAGACTCAGGGTGGCTTCCAAAGGTGAAAAATGCAAACATTCAATGAATACAAAGTAAAAAAAAACAATTAAATAATACAGTATAGCTTTAGGCTAAAATACAAGTATATAATAAATACACTTAGGGCCCTTCAAAGTGCTGGCTTTTGCCTATAAAGCCCTAAACCAGTGGTTCTCAACCTGGGGTCCCCAGATATTTTGGCCTACAACTCCCAGAAATCCCAGCTAGTTTACCAGATGTTAGGATTTCTGGGAGTTGAAGGCCAAAAACATCTGGGTACCCCAGGTTGAGAACCACTGCCCTAAATGGTTCTGGCCCAACTTACATGGCTGAACCATCTAGGACCTTAAGATAGCCTGGGGAGGCCCTGCTCTCATTACCGCCTTCGTAACAAATACGTTTGGTGGAGATGAGGGACAGGGCCTTCTCAGTGGTGGCCCCTTGGCTGTGGAACGTCCTTCCTATAGATATTAGATTGGCCACCTCCCTTTTAACATTCCGGAAAAATGTCAAGACGTGGCTTTTTGAACAAGCATTTGCAAATGCAGAGTAACTGAAACAGGGAAATGGAACGATTATAGCAGTGGTCCTCAAACTAAGGCCTGGGAGCCGGATACGGCCCTCCAAGGTTATTTATCCAGCACTCACTCACGATCAACCTAAGTCTGAAAAGACTTGAAGGCACACAACAACAACAATAATCCTATCTCATCAACCAAAAGCAGGGCCACACTTCCCATTGAAATACTAATAAGTTTATATTCATTAAAACTGTTCTTCATTTTAATTATTGTATTGTTTTAAAGTGTTTTTGCACTACAAATAAGATGTGTGCAGTGTGCATAGGAATTCATTCATGCGTTTTTCAAATTATAATCTGGCCCTCCAAGAGTTTGAGGGACTGTGACCTGGCCCTCTGACTGAGGACCCTTGGACTAGACAATGAGTCCGGACAACGTTTTTAACAAGACACTATGAATTTATATTTTATTGATTTGCTTAATTTTTATTGTATGTTATGTTTTTAATTATATTTATGACATTGCAAGCATTTAAATTTGCCCTGTTAACCGCCTTGAGTTGCCTATGGGCTGAGAAAGGCGGTATAAAAATACAGCAAATAAATAAATAAATAAATCCCAGGATCTGATCCTAGGTCTTCAGTTTATCTGGCAGTGGGGACTCATATAATCCAGTTTAAAGGAGAAAACTTGGGATCAGATCCTGGGATATAGGGCCTGTCTCGAAGGGCCCTTAAAATAGCATTTAAAACTCATTTGCGAAACGCCAGGTCCTGTCAGGGCCTAGTGCCTATTTGGATGGGATAGCGCCAACCAATACAAATGTGATTAGCTGCATTCCAAAGAAGGAACGGGCAGAAATCACCCCCGAGTCTTCCCTGCCTAAGAAGACCCCATTAAATGAATAGGGCTAACGTTCGGTGGACGGAAGACTGGAAGACCCCAAGGACCCCCTTTCATGCCTTGGCATTTGGGCCTGAGGGGCGAAACTGAGACCCCACCAAAGGAGAGGGGAGGCTTGGCTTCCGTTCCCTTCCCCCGCGGGCCTCTGCTCTCTTACCTGGACGTCGCCGTCGGCGGAGGAAGCAGCCACGGCCATTCTCCCCGCCAGCCAGCCAGCCAGCCGGGCAGCCGCCCGGCCTCCCTCAGGAAGGCGCCCGGGAGGAAAGAAGGAAGGCCGGCGGGCGGGCGTGCGGGCTGTCAGAGAAAAGGGCGCGCGAGGTAGTAGCCCGGCGAAACGGAAAAGCGCGCGCAGGGCGGCTTTCGAGCGCTCAGGGGGCGGGGCGTGCGCCTCTGGAGCGCACGTGACCAGGGAGCCGAGCGCGAGGAGAGGGACCCCCGCCCCTGCCGTGCCCTTGTCACGTGACCTTCCCTACCAAACTAGAAGCAGAGGCTGTGAGCCCGGCCTCTCTTCTCAGGAGCTTTGTTTAAAACACACACACACAACACAAGCTCAGGTTGAGCCTACGCTGGAAGAATAAATGCAGTTTGACCCCTACTTGGAAGCGACATGGCTCAAAGCTATCGAATCCTGGGAATTGTAGTTTCACAAGGCCTTTAAGTCGTCTCTGCCCAAAGTGTGCTAGTTGCCTCACCAACAACAAATCCCAGGATTAGAATAATATAATCATAGAATTGGAAGAGACTTCGTGGGCCACCCAGTCCTTACTTAGGTGATCCCTCACTGTCCAAGTAAGATTGTCCTCCAAGTTCAGTGTCCTAGCGGTGGGTCCCTAGGTGACGGTGGAGCCCTATTCTTGACCTGCATCTTCTGCAGTGAGAGCATCGGTTTCCAGGTGGAAGGTGGTCTCGGTCGAGGTTGGCTTGACGCGCCTTCCTCTTGGCTCGTTTCTGTCTTTCACCCTCCATCCGTGCCTCTTCAAATTCTGCAGCACTTCTGGTCACAGCTGACCTCCAGCTGGAGCATTCACAGGCCAGGGCTTCCAGTTCTCAGTGTCTATGCCAGAGTTTTTAAAGTTGGCTGTAAGCCCATCTTTAAATCTCTTTTCCTGTCCTCCAACATTCCGTTTCCCGTTCTTGAGTTCGGAGTAGAGCAACTGCTTTGGGAGACGGTGGTCGGGCATCTGGACAACGTAGCTGGTCCAGCAGAGTTGATGGCAGAGGACCATGGCTTCAATGCTGGTGGTCTTTACTTCTTCCAGCACACTGACATTTGTCCGCTTGTCTTCCCAGGAGATCTGCAGGATTTTCCAAAGGCAGCGCTGATGGAATCGTTCCAGGAGTTGCATGTGACGTCTGTCGACAGTCCACGTTTCGTAGGCATAGAGCAGGGTTGGGAGGACAATAGCTTTATAAACAAGCACCTTGGTATCCCTACGGATGTCCCGGTCCTCAAACACTCTCTGCTTCATTTAGAAAAATGCTGCGCTCACAGAGCTCAGGCAGTGTTGTATTTCGGTGTCAGTTTTGACTTTGTGGTGAGGTGGCTGCCAAGGTAGCAGAAATGGTCAACATTTTCTAATGTTACACCATTAAGCTGTATCTCTGGCATTGGAGAGGGGTTGGCCGGTGACTGCTGGAAGAGCACTTTGGTTTTCTCAATGTTCAATGACAGGCCGAGCTTCTTGTATGCTTCTGCGAAGGTGTTTAGAGTGGCTTGTAGGTCTTCTTCTGAATGTTGTCATCAGCATACTGGAGTTCTATAACAGATGTTGTTGTAACCTTGGTTTTGGCTTTCAGTCTGCTGAGGTTGAATAGCTTGCCATCTGTCCGACAGATGATTTCCACTCCGGTGGGAAGCTTCCCATCAACAAGATGAAGCATCACAGTGATGAAGATGGAGAATAAAGTTCGGGCAATAACACATCCCTGTTTGACGCCTGATTCCACCTTAAATGGGTCACTTTGAGAGCCATCATGTCATCACCAAATTACAAATCCCAGGATTAGAATCATAGAATCATAGAGTTGGAAGAAACCTCATGGGCCATCCAGTCCAACCCCATTCTGCCAAGAAGCAGGAAAATTCCATTTAAAGCACCCCCAAGAGATGGCCATCCAGCCTCTGTTTAAAACCTTCCAAAGGAGGAGCCTCCACCACAGTCTGGATCAGAGAGTTCCACTGCTGAACGGCTCTCATACTTAGAAAATTCCGGTGGAATCTCCTCTTTTGTAGTTTGAAGCCATTGTTCCACGTCCTAGTCTCCAGGGAAGCACAAAACAAGCCTGCTCCCTCCTCCCTTTGACTTCGCATTGAGTATTTATAAATAGCCCTCATCATGTCTCCTCTCAGCCTTCTCTTCTGCAGGCTGAACATGCCCAGCTCTTTAAGCCGCTCCTCATAGGGCTTGTTCTCCAGACCTTTGATCATAATACAAGACTATTATTTAATATAATATTCTCGGATTGCATCATACGAGACTATTATATCCGTGTGAACGTGGAATAAAAATACTGTGTTACATTCGTGTGCAAGATCATGGGAATAAGGGCATCCCGCCTTGGGCAGTTCAGACCCGCGCGCACATTTTTGAAAGGCGGGTAGGAAGGCCCCGCCCCTCTCCCCCTCTCGCGCGTCGGCGCCCAGATACCCGGATGCCGTGGGCTTCCGGGTGTGAGGCTGCCGCCAGCAGCGAGCCTCCTCTTTCTTTCTTTCTTTCTTTCCTGGCGCGTCCCGCCTGCCTGGGTGCGGGATGGAACTGGAGACGGAGGCGCTGCTGCAGGAGGCCCGGGAGAGCATCGAGGCGGCGCGGCTCTACCGCCGGGAGCTCCAGCAGCGCCTCAAGGGGCTCCACCTGGCCCGCCAGCAGGTAGGCAGGCAGAGAGCCAGGCAAGCAGGGCCCCCTCCTCCTCCTCCTGCTCTTTGCCTCATCTAGTTGGAATGCTTCCAACTCCTAGGAAGAGCATGCCACTGCTAACTAGTGTCAAAGGGTGCGCCCACACTGTCGAAGTAACGCAGTTTGATCCCACTCTCAGCGCCAAGGCTCAGTGCTATGGAATCCTGGAAGTTGGGAGTTTGACTAAGTCTTCAGAAACTACAAAACCCAGGATTCCAGGGCATTGAGCCAAGGCAGGCAGTGGGGTCAGGCTGCTCTCATTCAACAGCAGGCATGGGCAAACTTGGGCCCTCCAGGTGTTTTGGACTCCAACTCCCACAATTCCTAACAGCCGGTAGGCTGTTAGGAATTGTGGGAGTTAGAGTCCAAAACACCTGGAGGGCCCAAGTTTGCCCATGCCTGTTCTACAGTGTAGATGCTCTTTAATCTCTAAAATATTACAGCATCCTTTGCGTACTGATATTCCAGATTAGTGCTCCATGAATGTCCTGTCTAAAGTGTCATCAGAATATATATATACACACACACATACACCTTTGGAAGTCTGACTTGGCCATGGCAGTCCATGCACTGGTGACATCCCAAATAGACAATTGCAACACACTTTACGTGGGGTTGCCTTTGAAGCCTGTTCGGAAGCTTCAAATGGTCAATAGGTGGCAACCAGATTTCTCACTGGAGTGGCGTTCAGCGAGTACCCCTCTGTTGCCACAACTCCATTGGTTGCCAGTTTGCTACCGGGCACACTTCAAAGTGCTGGCTTTAGCCTATAAAGCACTAAATGGTTCCTGCCCGGCTTACCTGTTTGAACATATCACTCCACATGAACCATCTAAGAATTTAAGATCATCTGGGGAGACCCTGCACTTGGTCCAACCTTTTTTGCAGGCGCAACTCACGGGAATGAGACAGGGCTTTCTGAGTGGTGGCCCCTCAGTTGTGGAACGCCCTCCCCAGGGATATTAGGTCACCCCCCTCTTGAGCTTCCTGAAAAAAAACTGAAAATGTGACTATTTGAACAAGCCTGTGGAATCTGGCCCTGCTTATCTTTCTGAATGTATCTCTTCTTATGAACCATCCAGGAATTTAAGATCTTCTGGGGAGGCCCTGCTCTCGTCCCGCCTTCCTCTCAGGCTCGGTTGGCAGGGATGAGAGATAGGGCCTTCTCAGTGGTGGCCCCTTGGCTGTGGAATGCCCTCCCTAGGGACATTAGATCGGCCCCCGCCCTCTTAACGTTTTGTAAAAAAGTCAAAACTTGGCTTTGTGAGCAGGCTTTCTCAAATGCAGGGTAGCAAATAATTTTGTTTTTTCGACCTCGGAACAGCTGGACAATTGTGATCGGATAATGATTTTGGTAATGAGACGCAGAGGATTGATGTTTTATTGAATTTATGTTATGGAATTTTATGTATGTTATATGCTTTTAACTGTTTTTTATATTATGGTGGCATCGAATTGTGTTGTGTTGTAAACTGCCCTGAGTTGCCCTTGGGCTGAGACGGGTGGTATAGAAATATAGTAAAGAAATAAATAGTAAAGAAATAAATCTAATGCAACAGTCAAACATGATATTAGATAAAAGTGAACATTGAAATGGCTCAGATGACAATTTATTGGACCATGAGACTAACAATGAAAGCATTGATTTTATATGTTTTATTGATTGTATTTTTAATTCTGTTAATTGTATATTGTTAGGCATCAAATTGCATTCTGGTTGTAAACCGCCTTGAGTCACCTTCGGGTTTGAGAAGGGCGGGATAAAAGTATCGTAAATTATATATTTATCTGTTCACCCTATGAGTAGTGGCTGGAGCTTTCTTGCCTAAAATGCATCTGTGGAAATAATGTAGATTGTGCTGTGAAATCCTGAGGGCTTTCAAGTTTTACCATGACTTTAGCTTCCTCTGCCAAAGAGCGCTGGTGTCTCACCAAACTGCAAACCCCAGGATTCCAGGGCATTAAGGCATGACAGCCAAAGTGGAGTCAGACTGCATTGATTATCCAGTGCGGATGCTGCCTAGAACAGTGGGAGTCAAGGGTTGAAATCTCCTTTGAGCCCTGGAAGCCCACCAGAAGGCCTTGGGCGAGTCACACTCTCTCAGCTTCAGAGGGAGGCAAAGGGAACCCCCCTCTGAACAAATCCTGCTAGTAGGAATTAGCTTGAAGGCACACAGCCACAAATGCTCACTCGTAAACCATGATATCAGATTGTTTACTGCTGTGCAAAAGAATAGCGGCATGATCTTCTGTCACATGGGATGCATGTTCCCTATTGGGAGAAACTTGTGATAACAAATGGAATCACTGAATACATAAAATTAAATAGATGTGAAATAATATCATGGTGCAGAAGATGTAATAAGAATCCTAGTGGGATTTGATCAGCCCCTTCCCTCCTGTCATTTTGCAAACAAGTGGAAACTTGGTTTTGGGAATAATCATTTGGCTCAGCATAATTATCTGTGCAATAGTTGGAATTGGTCTTGAATTGAAGAATATGATTATTTGACTATCTGACTTTGGATCTATGCACAATAGTCGTCCGATGTTTACATACGTTGTTTTAAGTTGTTGTTTAATTGGTTTTAATTGTTGTTGTTGTTTGGGCATGGAATGATGCCAATCATGTGAGCTGCCCTGACAATAGAATATGGATCATTCTAACATTAGTACTCAGTTATATATTTTTACTCTTCTAGATTTTGTCCAGTTCCTTCATAACTACCTATCAAAATCCTAATGTATTGTCGAAGGCTTTCATGGCCGGAATCACTGGTTTGTTGTAGGTTTTTTTGGGCTATATGGCCATGTTCTAGAGGCATTCTCTCCTGACATTTCGCCTGCATCTTTGGCAAGCATCCTCAAAATCCTAATGTTCTGATTTCTTACCTGCAGTCTCCATTCAGAYAAATAACCGAGCCAAGGAATGAAAAATCTTGGAAACCTTTCATTGTCTTCTTCAAACTTATATAAATAATCTGTGATTGTTAATTTTGTTTTCTTAACGTTCAACYATAAACCTGCCTCTTTGCTTTCTTCCTTGATGTTTTTCAGTAACCATTCCAAGTCTTCATTATTTTCTKCTAGTTGTATGGTGGAGCCCCCGGTGGTGCAGTGGGTTACACCGCTGAGTAGCTGAACTTGCTGGCCAAACGGTCGCCAGTTCAAATCCAGGGAAGGGGGTGAGCTCACGCTGTTAGCCCCAGCTTCCGCCAACCTAGCAGTTCGAAAACATGCAAATGTGAGTAGATCAATAGGTACCACTCCGGCTGGAAGGTAACAGTGCTCCATGCAGTCATACTGGCCACATGACCTTGGAGCTGTCTATGGACAATGCTGGCTCTTCGGCTTAGAAATGGAGATGAGCACCACCCCCCAGAGTCGGACTCAATTAGACTTAATGTCAGGGGAAACCTTTACCTTTACTTAGTATGGTGTCATCTGCATATCTTAAATTGTTGATGTTCCCTTAATTTTCATGCCTCATTCCTCTGAGTTTCATCCTGCCTTATGCATGTTATGTTCAGCATTAAATGAGTTAAATAGATAGTGTGATAAAGTTAACCTTGCCAATTGGAAACCATTCCTTTTTTCTTTATGTTGTCCAGTTAGTAGCTAGTTGTCCTAAGTACTTGTTATGCATCAACACAATGATCCCAGTTTTTCATGATACACAAAATCAAAGGCTTTTGTCTCTTTCGTTTAGTACTCCTGTGTATTGTTTCCATTGCCTTTTTATTTATTTTTAGTCATATAATATGTTCCCTTTCTGGCGCATAGCATCCCTATTCTTGGTTTTAATTTTTCTTTGATTTCTAGCGTCTTGTGAAAGAGGTCTCCTGTTGTTACTTTTTTATTACCATCTTAAGTTTTTCTTCATTTACTATTACATTAGTTCTCTTTCCCCCTGTGCTTGATTAGAATAATGCTGGAAATATTTGGTAGACTACACCATTTCCATCTCTGCTCCAAAGCCTCTTGCTGATTTCCAAGAGCCATGACGACTAATGTTTATGGGAACTGAAGTCCAAAGCTTCTGGATGACAAAAACTCAAGAACCATTGCATTAGATTGTTGGTTAATAGTGACTAGAGATGAGGCTTTTTCATCTGTATCATTGGAGGTGTCATAAGCCTTCCACCAATGCCAGGCAGAAACATTTTTATTCACTCAGGCATGTTCATTAGTTATCTGCCATGTTTGCAGTTTATTATTTTAAGAGAAGATGTAATGTAGTATTCCTATCTTTAATCACCGTGAATGATCTTCAAATCACTCATGATAAAGATGTAGTAAAATATTTTAAATTAAAGCATTTCATTATCTTGTGCTTTTGTACATTAGTCGTATTTTACTGTCTTGATGTGCCTCTTAGTAGAGTTGGTGTTTTGTTTTGTTTTTGTTTTTTTCATTCTTGCTTTATTTCAGTAATTGATTGTGATGAATTGCCTTCATGTAACTAAGGTCCCTTCCACACAGCTGAATAAAATCCCACATTATCTGCTTTGAACTGGAATATATGGCAGTGTGAACTCAGATAACCCAGTTCAAAACAGATATTGTGGGATTTTCTGCCTTGATATTCTGGGTTATTGGCTGTGTGGAAGGGCCCTAAAAGCCCTTGCATCAAGTCCTGGACCAAAAATTTGTTACTTTGCACAACTAGCCAGTTTACTGGATTATAAGATGCCTGAAGATGTAAGAAAGTTCTTCCTTTCTTCTTTCCTGTCCCTTCTGCTTTATATATGTAGCGACGCACTTCCTTTTTTTCTAAAGTCCTGAAATAACAAGTGAAGACGGCTTAAGTGTAGGGGCACTACAAAGCCCTACGAATGTGGCTTAAACAGGAAGTCGGCTTTTCATAACTGTCGTAGAGCATCCTGTGTTGTTTGTCAGTACTTCTGAAGATCAAAAAGTTACATCTGGCTGATATTCTGCAGTTTTTTTTTTCTATGAGAATATGCTTTTTCCATCTGGTTCACTCATGGCTGGTTTCTCCCTTATGTTTTTAACAAGCTGTATTCTTTCACTGCCTCCTTTTTTCAGTGTGGTCTTATTATAAACCTTGAATACATGGGCAGCACTCTGCCTGCTTATGGGAAATAAGTAAAAGCTGAATTGGTGTGTCTCGCCTTCATATAAATCAGGTACAGACCCAGTTTATTGTTTTATCTATTTTGGAGAGGAACAGATATAAAATCATAGAATCATAGAGTTGGAAGAGACTTCATGGGCCATCCAGTCCAACACCCTGCCAAGAAGCAGGAATATTGCATTCAAAGCACCCCTGACAGATGGCCATCCAGCCTCTATTTAAAAGCTTCCAAAGAAGGAACCTCCACCACACTCCAGGGCAGAGAGTTCCACTGCTGAACAGCTCTCACAGTCAGGAAGTTCTTCCTCATGTTCAGATGGAATCTCCTTTCTTGTAGTTTGAAGCCATTGTTCCGTGTCCTAATCTACAGGGAAGCAGAAAACAAGCTTGCTCCCTCCTCCCTGTGACTTCCTCTCACATATTTATACATGGCTATCATATCTCCTCTCAGCCTTCTCTTCTTCAGGCTAAACATGCCCAGCTCCTTAAGCCACTCCTCATAGGGCTTGTTCTCCAGACCCTTGATCATTTTAGTCGCCCTCCCCTGGACACATTCCAGCTTGTCAATATCTCTCTTGAATTGTGGTGCCCAGAATTGGACATGCAAGAAACTAAAGCATGTACAAGAATCAGACATCTTCTGAAAAACAATTCTGACACCTTGATAATGATGGTCACCGGAACGTCTGTTTTGAAATTCTGTTATGTTGACTTACATTTAGTGACATTCCTTATTTATTTATTTATTTATTTGCTATCTGTCCTACCTTTCTCCCTATGCGGGATCGAAGGTGGCCTATGGCATTTTTAAAAGTTTGTATAGTTAAAACATTACTTATACAGAAGTTTTAAAGATCATGAAATAGCCGTTCAATTAAAAACAGAAGATTAAAGTAATATAAAAAACACAGATCATAATAAAAAGATAAATAACACAACCCCATAGAAAACCACTTCTTTACATAGATTCTGAACAAAGGGCCTAAGAAAGAAGAGGCAGAGAAACCGAACCACCTGCCTGCTTTCTGACAAGGCCTTCTCTCAGTTCCTCACCCAAAAAGCCTGCCTCCCCCAAATCTTTCTTTAGTTTGCATTGTTAATGTTGTAATGAGGCATTGAATGTTTGCTTTTGTTTGTTTGTTGGAATCCGCCTCAGGGATATAGAGCGGATTATTATTGTTGTTGTTGTTATTATTATTATTATTATTATTTACTTGGATTGGGATATGAGAAGGGAGAATTGGGCAAGGGGTAGGGGTATTAGATGCTCTATTTAGAGTGGATAAGAACCTGTTATAAAAGCTGTTCTAAAAATCTATTGATGTACGTTTTTCCTCTTTGGGGAGAAAGGGGGCTAAAGGTGTCAGATCCTGTCTGATCCTGGAAGTTAAGCAGGGTCAGCCCTGATTAATACTTGGATGGGATAGTACCAACAAATATCAGGTGCTATAGGCTGAATTTCAAAGGAAGGAACTGGCGCGAGCTCTAAGATCTTCTGAGGAGGCCCTCCTCTCAGTCCCACTACCGGTTGGTGGGGCCGAGAGAGAGGGCCTTCTCAGTGGTGGCTCCCCCGTCTCTGGAACGCCCTTCCAAAGGAAATAAGACAGGCCCCATCCCTCCCCTCCTTTCGTAAGAGCTTGAAGACCTGGTGGTTTCAACAAGCCTTTGAAAATGACCAGTTCTAACTCAGCCTGACACATTGTCTAATACGACCTTATTCTTCCTACCAGTTACCCAGATTCTTTCCTTTCATCAGCCCCGGGATGAATAGCCACAGACCCATACCTAATATTGTTGTTGCCTGCCATAGCATTGCACTTAATTCCCAGGCCCCCTAGAATTTTTGGGCTTGCACAAATCTTGGCCCGGCCTTTTAAATTTTTAATTGCCTTGAACAGGCAGGATTACTTTTAATATATGTGTGTTATGTCGACAATTTTTATGTTTATATTTTGTTTGTTAATCTTATGGTTATGTTGTTTTTACTCTGTATGTTTTGTGATATTACTTGGGATATTATATTTCTGATATTACTCTGAGTCCCCTCGGGGAGATGGAGCGGTATATAAATAAAGTTTCATTTATTATTTATAACCGACAAAATCACCTCTGAGTATTCCTTTCCTAAGAAACCCCTCTGAAATTGATGAGGTCACCACAGGTAATTGGAAATCAGACACACACACTAAGTTCCAGTTGCACAAATGCAAAATGGGAAACTAGTAGACTTTATTGTCTTAATTTTCTCAGTTCCAGGCCTTTTTCCTATGAAGCTTGAATCAAGATGAATGTGTTTGAATACATTGGTTACATTGGTTCCAAGCTGACAAATACCTGTATATTTGTATTTTAAGAGGACTAGATATATGTTGTATGTTGTGTTTGCACTGTCTGTTTTGATAAGGCCTACTGGCTAATCAATAAAATCGTTTGTGTTTGAAAACAATTATGTGAATGTTAGGCTGACATCTTACATTAAGAATGGCAAGGGCTGCTTGGTTTTGGCCCAGTTCTTTCCAAAGGCCTCACTTGTGTCTCGTGTTTCTCTGCAGATCAAGGACAGTGCTGCATTGACCAGGGATGTACTAGAACAGCATTTTAATGACTTAAAAGGGACCCTAAGGAAACTCCTGGATGAACGACTGCTGTCTTTGCTCCAGGAAGTGGATGCCATAGAAGAGGAAAGCATCAAACCATTGGATGAGTGTCAGAAGCTAATAGAACATGGAGTTGGTACGGCTGATGAGCTCCTCCGAGACGGTAAACTCTTAAAATGGATTTCCTTTTTTATTGTGGAGTGGTCTGCACAAACACTGGGAGCATGCATAAAGGAGCTGCACCAACTATTCTAATTCCTCAGCTGACTATCTCCTAGGAACTTTTTTTTTGTGTCAGGAGCAACTTGAGAAACTGCAAGTCGCTTTTGGTGTGAGAGAATTGACTGTCTCCAAGGATGTTGCCCAGAGGACGCCCAGATGTTTTACCATCCTGTGGGAGGCTTCTCTTATGTCCCCATATGGGAAGTTGGAGCTGACAGACGGGAGATCACTCTGCTCCCCAGATTGAAACCGCCGACCTTTTGGTCAGCAGTCCTGCCAGCTCAGGAGTTTAACTCATTGTGCCCACACTGATGCATAGGTTCTTGTGAGGAAAAGTCCTGATTGGACAAAGGGAGCTCAACCTGCTCTCGCCTGATTCAAACCATTGACCTGTTGATCAGCAGTCCTACCGGCATAAGGGTTTAGCCCATTGCACCACCAGGGGCAAGGACTTATTGAAACAGATCATTTCCATCAGCTGTTTTGACAGATCTGCGTTTCTTCTGCTCTCTGACCTCTGGGAGAGTAATAATTTCTAATAATTCCTCTATGTTGTGCCCTGTTTTTTCCCCCTTGAAATTTCTGTCTTTTTTCAATCACAAATTTTGGTTTTACTATTTTCTGATTTTTCTGCATTAGCTCACTAGTCAGTTTGTCCAACAAGATACAGTATGAATTCTTTAAAATCTACTGACAACTCTTTCCTAATCAATCTCATTTCTTTAAGAATTTGGGTAGGATCCATTAACTTTTAATTAAGCTTACAATGGCTTTATAATGTAAATTTCTTCTGAATCCTTTTGGAATTCTAGCATTCACTTATTAATTGTCTATTGCATTTGAACACACCGTGGCACCGCAGTTCACTTTCTTTCCTCAGTAGGTTGCTATGACCAACACAAGGGGAAATTCTGCCTCCAAAGGTTCAGGTACTTATTTCCAATGTATTTTTCAGCCTGGGAACGTCGCTTTGTTTTGACTTTGAAGATAGTCTTTGTATAAATAAAACTTAACCCTTTGCTAACCCTTTGGATGTTTATTACCTATAGGACTATAGGTAATAAACGTCCTACTCTTCACTCTTAAAATTAATTAGCTTTTAATGATCTTCCTTGACCATTAAAATATTCTTGTAAGGGTGTTCCTTGGTAGTCACTACAATTTCTTACAACTTATCTTGTTAGTTTCATTTTGAGCTCTAACCAGAGAAATGCTCACAATTTTAGGCATGCAGAATGTCATTCATCTGAAAGGGAGGATTTTTGATTCAACATGTAAGACTTAATTTCACAAGATATTCTTCAATGTTTCCCTCGGGGAGATAGAGCGGTATAGAAATAAAGTTTTATTATTATTATTATTATTATTCATTGAAAAAGCCAATTGGCATTGTTTGTTCTGTGGGAACAGTGACAAGTTATGATGGATCTTTCTTCTTAGCTCTGGCTGTCTCCATGCCATGGTAGATGTGGAAACAAATGCTTAAACAGGCATTAGAAAGCAAGAATTGGAGTTTATCTGAATATGGTCTCCAATCTTTCCATACCAGAGAGTAATTTCCACCAGTCCGAAGATGGCACAAATGGGTGTGACCATAGCTGGTAAACTCCCCCTTGGGAGTTTAACAACAGGGCTGTTTTCACTTTGCCATCTTACCAAGGTCTGGGTGTTTATTCATATCTCAATATAATAAGTCATGATATCTTGATAGTGCTGGGTTGTCAATAACTAGATGGAAATTGCAGACCCACAACATCTGGAGCCCTGTGTTTTCCCCATCCGTGCTGAAATGTGAAGGAAATTATTTCTTCTTAACAGGATTTGTTTTACACTTTTTCATTCTAGGAGAAAGTGCTATCCATGGTGTCACAGGGGAGAACAACAACAAGCTTTGCAACTTCACAAAAAAGGCATTGCATATCCAGCTAGATAGGTAAGAGAACGGAATTGTACTGTAGACATTGACACTGCAAGCAGTGAGTGATAAATTCTAGGGTTGGTTTAAAACTGCCTTTTGACACTTAGGATCTGAAAAAGAAGGGCTCTTACTACAAGTAGAGTGCTTCTCTGTCACCGTTTAGATCTTTTAGCTTGCATAAATAATGAACTGCTAGTACTGGGACTTGATTCACTTTTATAAGGTCCCATTTCAAATTGTCTAATTTTAATATTGGAAAAAATGGAGAAGTTTTATTTCAGAACAGATCACCCAGGAATAAATAGTGTAATTAGGCTAGACCAACTATTTGTAATTATCTTTACATATAACGCTTAAAACACCTTTAACACTCTTTTGATTATAATCAAGCCATTTGATTTAAGAGTGGATGTGGAATAAGCAAATAGATTTCTTTTCTCTGGTCAGTCTCCCCCCCCCCCTTTGACCCCATTGTCAAGAGTTCCAAAACCTGATTGAGTTATTATTATTATTATTATTATTTACTTTATTTGTATACCGCACTCTCTCAGCCCGTAGGCGACTCAGTGCGGTTTACAACCAGGTCAATATACAAAGTGCACAACAATAGTATTAGCATTTAAAAAACMGTRACTARAGCAACTAAATCACATAGCAATACATCRRTATAACAATATAACAACAMTACATCCATATCCATATAAYTAWTCYATCACGTCTYATCAATAAAGTCATAATCCGATCTCCTCRTCWRTTATTYCAAGTTCCAAGTTCCARTCTCARTCAATTGATTGCACTGCTTAATTAAAYGCCTGTTCGAAGAGCCAGGTCTTCACTCTTCTCCTGAACGCCAGCAAGGAGGGGGCCGATCTGATGTCTGCGGGAAGGGCGTTCTTATTATTATTAAGTTMTTTAATAATGTGCACGAAAAGAGTATTGTGTTAGCTAGATCAATGTTTTCTCTCTTTAGTTTGCCAGAAGTGCCATCGTTGGTTGATGTGCCTTGTTTATCTGCCCAGCTGGATGACTCTCTCCTTACAGTAGTTAGAAGTCAAATCGTCAACCATGGTACAGTTGCATCTCGACCTCCAGTACAGATTGAAGAACTAATTGAGAAGCCTGGGGGGATCGTAGTGCGGTGGTGCAAGGTGGGCAAAGGAGTACTTTGGAGATCCATTATAGTAGACACTTCCTTCCTTCAAGTTGTGATTATTAGAGCAGTCCAAGAGACTTTGGAAAGGTGAATCTGTATCACAGAGCTGCAGGTTAAAAAATAAAGTGTGGAAGCAGGATGTGCTATTTGTGTATAGAAAGTGGCTTTGATTAGGTATATTTTGTATGTTTTCTGCAGCCTAATCATATATAAACACACGCACACATACATACATACATACATACATACATACATACAGCATTTACAGCCAGCAGCTGTGAGAGCACTGAAAATACACCCCCTTCTCTTTATGTCCTTGACCCAAATCATTCCCTGTTGAAAATACAAAATTATTGGGAAGCTTCCCATCAAATTAAAGACTCTCCCATGAGAGTATAATGCAGGTAGTTGTTATTAATTTTATAATTACATAGCTTACAAATACCTATTTTGAAACGAGGTGCTCATTAAATTGTTAACAACAACAACCATTTTTATTGATTAGCCAGTTGACCTTATCAAAAACAGACAGTGCAAACATAACATACAACATACATCTGGTCCTCTTAAAATAGAATACAAATATATAGGTATTTATCAACTTAAAACCAATGTAGCTTAGCCATAGATATATGCATCAACTATCCTCGTCTCCTCTACACTGCACCCCAATCTGAACTGTGTACTCTGATCTCCTTTTATCTGCTTTAAACAAATAAATAGCAACTTTTGTTGCTCGAATGGGGTTGTAACCAGCCAACAAAAATGAGGTTTTGGCCACTATATCCCAGCTTATTTTATTGCAAATAAAGGGCCATAAATATTTTTTCCTTTCTTTTTTATATAGATTGCAGTGATGTAAAATGTGGTTCAGATTTTCAACTTCAGGGGCACCACAGATACATAGTCTTTCTTCATGTGGGATATGATTGAATCTGCCATGCCTCTCCATGGATTCAATTTGTTCAAATCTTGCCCTGGTAAAAGCAATTCTTAGGTTTCTTGGCATATCAGCTTTTAGGTGGAGCAGAATAGAACTGAATGGGTTCATGTTTTGCATAGACTTCTTAAAATTCACCAGTGTTTAGAAACATTGTTAAGATTTTGATTTCAGTTCTTTAGAGAGGGGAGCTGTGAACTAATTGAGCAAGGAAAAGATGCCTATTGTAATCCTATTAAAAGTGATTGCTTTTTGTTTTATACTTTTTGAAGAGACTGAAATACAGAAGTTTGGTTTAGAATATACTTCTTGTGTTAGTGGTGCTCACAAAGAGCTGCATTCAGTGTTTTTTGTGGTGACCCTTTCCCCTGTTTGTGATGTTTTGCTGCACATGATTGCTCCTTCTTCAAATTCCACTTGAACCCCCCTTTCAGTTTGTTATATCCACAAAAATCATGTGGTGGGTTCAGAATATAACATGGCTATTGATCACTCTGTAGAAAGTGGAGAATTTGTGCAACGCTTATTTGTTCTAAATGTATATTTGAGCTTCCTCTGGGTACGGAGTGAGTTTTTTTGTTCATTCACTGCTATAATGTGGGAACATCGATTACTCCATTCTTCCTTGGAATAGGTTTCTTCTGTTCAAGAAGGAACTGCTGACTAGTATTTACCCAAATCTTCAAGGATGTGCATGACCCCTACTTTACCTCATTGCCTTGATACATTACATTAAAGAGACTATGAGAAGAAGAGTGTGTAAATCCTATAAATAACTCTGTTTAGGTTGATGAAGACTTCATCCCACAACACTACAGGCTTCAGTATCGCAAGAGTACCGCTGGTCACTTTGAAGATGTGTACGTTGGTTCGGACACAGAATTCATAGTACTACACATTGATCCCAATATTGATTACCAGTTCAGGGTATGTGCGCGAGGAGATGGCCGTCAGGAATGGAGTCCGTGGAGTGTTTCTCAAATTGGCCGTTCTACATTAGTGCCTCATGGTATTCTTGCTGTCTTCATTTTTTTTTGTTAATTAAATATTGATAGATGTCAGGTATTATACAATATTTTATCCCAATTTTTTTGGTCTCTTTCTTCCCTTAGTGTTCATTTCCATATACTTCTCTCCATCCATGCCTGCTAGCTCCCATGCTTTGCTCCAGATCCCACAACTCTGGCTTGTCTTTTTTCAAATAGGCTATTTATTCTTTAGATGCTAATGTCACTCATGGTGAAATACCGTATATACTCGAGTATAAACTGAGTTTTTCAGCCTTTTTTTAATGCTGAAAAAGCCCCCCTCGGCTTATACTCTAGTCAAGATTATTATTTTATTCTGTTGTTGTTGTTGTTGTTGTTGTTGTTACATTTATTATTTTACTCTATTTCTATTACATTTATTATTTTACTATATTTACTATTGTTATTAATACATTTTCATTTTTTTAAAATTATTGCATTTATTATTTTACTCTTTTTTATTCTTGGAAAGATACATAAGCACATTTACATTGAAGAAGGTTGGAATAATGGTTTAATCAGAGTTGGACACTCTTATCTAAAATTACAGTTTTATGTAAATATTTAAAAACATTTAACCTACTGATGTCTTAATTAATGTAATTTAATTGGTATCTATTTTTATTATGAAATTTACCAGTAGCTGCTGCATTTCCTACCATCGGCTTATACTCGGGTTAATATGTTTTCCCAGTTTTTTGTGGTAAAATTAGATGCCTTGGCTTATATTCGGGTTGAGTATATATGGTAGTTTTAAATGGATATTGTATTCTGTACCAAATAGATATTTATTTTAAATAAATTACATTGACTTCAAAGTAAGGCTGTAATCTTGAACATTATAACGAGGATGCAACTGATTCTATAATTTTAGGAGCATTAGTGTAACTATGAAGTTATTGAAGTAAATGGACTGTAGAGCTTTTTCCTGTATCAGAATAGTGTAACTTCTCCTTTTAGAATGCATACAGACCTATCTCTACAAGAGCATTATGGGATATACGTATTTCCCCAAGAATAAACCATTGGTGCCAGCAACCTGGGAATACAAAATAGTATTTTATAGTCTCTCTAGATTATGATAATCTTGTGTGTTTAGTTACCATTTATGCTTTCTTTGATAGAGTGGGCAGCTGGCTTTGAAGGGTATAGCCTGAGCAGCCGAAGAAACATCGCTCTCCGAAATGACTCACAAGCTGGTGGAGTGTTGTACTCCAAGGCTCCAACCTATTACTGTGGTCAGACATTGACATTCCGGTAGGTAATGCTACATACGGCAAGTTCTGTGTATTGTTTCGTCCAAAGAGATTCTTTACTACGTATTATGGTATTGCTATGACCGTATGTTACATGGACTCTTCTATGGGCTGGAGTAGCTGAAAGATTCCCCCCCCCCCCAAAAAAAAATCTCTTTGCTGGCCTCTAAGGCTGGCTAATTATTTTTGGGTGTCTTGATTGAAAAATGTTTTTCAGCTCATTAACCCTATATTATTATTATTATTATCATTATTATTATTACTCCTTTAACTAATATATTTTTGGCAGAAAAACTCTTGTTCTCCTTCACCTCTTACAGCAGTTGGTTCTCCTTCTATATTAAGACTCCAGACCCATTTGTATCCAGCTTGTTCTACCTCCCACCTAATTATTGTTACAAGGCAGTTTGGGATGGTTGGCTACATTAGAAACTCCCTGTGAGTAAAGGCTGCTTGGGTTAAAATTTTTAATTCTGTATAATGTGATGAAAAACCTTAGCAGAGCTGCTTCCCCAAGATAATGTTGCTTTGGCAAGGGGAGGGTCTCTGTGTGAATTCCTTGGTTCCAATTTTAATTATTAAGATAAGAGATGTACCATATATACTTAAGTATAAGCTGAGTTTTTCAGACCTCTTTTAAGGCTGAAAAAGCACACACACACACACACACACACACACACACACCCCGGCTTATACTCAAGCCAGAGTTATTTATAATTTTGCTCTATTATTATTATCATTTTATTACATTTATTATTTTACTCTTTTTAGTATATTTATTATTTTACTCTATTATTGTTATTTCATTTTCTTATTTTACTCTATTATTATTTGTATTAAATTTATTATTTTAATCTATTATTATTATATTTATTTCATTTATTATTGTTATTATATTTATTATTTTACTCTATTATTACTGTTATTATTGCATTTATTATTTTACTCTCTTTATTCTTGGAAGGATACGTAAGCACATTTACATTGAAGAAGATCAAAATAATGGTTTAATCAGATTTGGACAGTCTTATCTTAAATTACAACTTTATGTAAATATTCAAAAACATTTAACCTTCTGATGCCTCAATTAATGTAATTTAATTGGTATATATATTATTTTTAAATTTACCAGTAGCTGCTGCATTTCCCACCCTCAGCTTATACTCGAATCAGTATGTTTTCCTAGGTTTTTGTGATAAAATTAGGTGCCTTGGCTTATATTTGAGTCGGCTTATAGTTGAGTATATACGATATTCTCTGATTACGCAGTCACCTAGTGTGAGCAATTCTTACTTAATAGACTTCCAGAACCTCCATATGGCTGTCATGAGTGATCAGTGGAGGTCATTATTTGGATTTTCTAGCTTTCTGTGGCTATTTGGGTTCTCTGATTCTCTCCCTTCAGAGGCTCACAGAATGCTCTTGGGCATAATAAAAACAACTGAGCATGAATCCTTGCTCTTTTCTCACCTCGTGTGCCAGAACGTAATTCTTATTGTTATCCATGGCACCGAGAAAGAAAGTGACGTGTATGAGGGAAAGCAAGCAAGGAAGGAAAGAACCACAAAGAGGAGAGTCACGTTGCCATTGAGATGTTGTGAGGTAGACTCTCAGTGGGAGAAAGGGAAGGAGAAGAAAGAAATAGAAAATAAATGGGGGGAGAGAAAGAAAAAGGAGGAAATGAAAGAAGAGAAAGAAAGAGGGAAAAGATTTGAGAGATGGGAAAGAGAAGGGATGGAAGCAGGGAGGTAGTGGCCCCTCTGACACTTGGCCAACACCAGGTATATATGCTCGTTTTGTTTCAAACTTGGATTGTGACATTAAGCCAACTGCAATGGTCTATGACTGCCTTAAAGCAAAAATATTAGCTTCAAGAGACATTTGAGCTCTTTGTTATCAAGTGCAAGAGTTCAAAATAGTATTTTTCTTTTTTAATTGTAGAGACTGATGAGATATTACTTCTTTTTTCATGTCAGGAGCGACTTGAGAAACTGCAAGTCGCTTCTGGTGTGAGAGAATTGGCCGTCTGCAAGAACATTGCCCAGGGGACGCCTGGATTTTTCACCATCCTGTAAGAGGCTTCTCTCATGTCCCAGCATGAGAAGCTGGAGCCGCCAGACAGGAGCTCACCCCACTCCCCAGATTTGAACCACTGACCTTTTGGTCAGCAGTCCTGCCAGCACAAGGGTTTAACCCACTTCACTACCAGGAGCTCCGAGATATTACTAAAAAAGAGGCAGCTAGAAAATCTAAATTATAGTTTGACTCCTAGGCACTTTTTGCCCCCATGTTGCATAGCAGGCCTTCAGTATTTGTAATGTTTTCTAGAGGACAAAAATACTCGCAATATGGTTCCACTTTTGTATTGTATTCATCATACAATAAAACATTAACTTATTAAAGGTCATCCTGCTGGCTGAAAAACAAATAAAATAAATAAATGCAGATGCAAAATATTTTGCTTAAAGTTTCTTTATGTTTTGGCACATATTCTACCTCCAGCTGTTTTCATTACAGATTATAGGAAATTACATCATGTCTTTGAAAAAATCTGTAGCCATTTATTTCTTGAATCTGTAGACACTAATAGGCTGATTAAAAGGAAGCAAGCCTTTAAATGTTTGGAGCATATTGGCTTCTAATCTTGTAGAGATAAGATCTGCAGGTACTTCATTTCATTGTTCGGCTAAGAGAGGACATGAGATCTATGTCTAAACACATTTGAAAGGATGTCACATTGAGGAGGAGGCAGGCATGTTTTCTGTTGCTCCAGAGACTAAGACACGGAGCCATGGATTTAAATTTCAGAAAAAGATTCCACCTCTACATTAAGAAGAACTGCCTAACAGTAAGAGCTGTTCGACAGGGGAATAAGCTGCTGCCTTGGAGTGTCTTGGAGTCTGCTTCTCAGAGTGTTTTAAAGCAAAGGCTGGATGACCATCTGTCCAGAGTGTTTTGGTTATATTTTCCTACATGGCCCTTGTTGTCTCTTCCAACTCCATTGATTGGCCAGTCTGATAACATTACAGAGTAAATGTGTATAAATAAAAAACCAGCAGTACCATTTGGAATCTCCACTATTCTATTTATAGCTCTTTGAGCAAAGATAATGGATCTTTTTGTTTTCTATCCAGAGAGTCTGTAGCCCAGATTTAGCACTCCATTAATCTTTTGGTTGTCGAAAGCTTTCATGGTCGGAATCAGTGGGTTGCTGTGAGTTTTCTGAGCTGTATGGCCATGTTCCTGGACACAGCATATTATTTGACAACACAGAAATGCCGGACCACTCTAACAGCCACCATGTCAGACAGAGAAGCCACTGAAATCCACAAGCATGTGGACAATTTTAAACAGAAAAGAGGAAACCATGAAAATGAACAAAATCTGGCTACCAGTGTTAAGAAAACATTCAGATCAGGATGGTAAATAAAGAGCAACACTCTGAAAACAGGGGAATTCCAGACAAGAATCAATCAGGGGCAGCTAACACCTCCCAACAAAGGATTCCACCAGGCAGCAACCATCAAGGCTTTGAAGCTGCAAGGCCATTAAATGCCAATCAGGTGGCCAATTACAACATTCACATTTGCCTCAAGCAGACAAGACAAGAGTTCTTTCTCCCACCCTGGATATTATTCCACAGGGATATAAACCCCACTTGTCTAGTTTCCAACAGGCCTCACAACTTCTGAGGATGCCTGCCATAGATGTGGGTGAAACCTCAGGAGAGAATGCAGCCTGGAAAACTTACAGCAACCTAATTAATTTTTCATTAATGTGATTGTTCACTGTTCTTGGAATGGCATAATATCAGCTGCCATGAATGTAGTACAGCTAGTGTGCACTCTGAGAGTCCGTGGGTCATAATTTTCCTATGTTCTTCACTGATGTGGATCTAGCTATCTACACAGATGGAAATGTGCAAGCGAAACCTCTGTCTCTTTGCCTTTTCCCTTTCATATGTTTTGGATGCCAGCTCCTAGCATCCTGACCTTTGATGATACTGGATGCATCTGCTAGGAGCTGATCCAAAATGCCTGGGGCTCTGAGAACTGAGACTGTTCTAAGTTTTTCTGAACATTGGAGTGAATGAACAAGTCCATGTTCTTGGGTTTGGCTGTACTGAAAATCTGCTTCTTGAAGATGCAACTGTTCAAGTGAATGATTGATTGGAAATGATTTCTGATCAAACTGAAACAAGGTGTATCCGCATGATCCATTTTGATGCAGTGGACTATATCCCAGCAGTAATGTGACCCTGAGGTTAATCCAGCACCACTGCTGGTTTTGCAAGAATGCCGTTCTGAAATCAGTGGTTTTTCATCCATTAACATCAAGCAAATATCACAGCTATTGAAGCCAATCTTTCTTTTGTTTCTTTCACAGAATTGAAACTGTTGGCCAGACAGACAAAAAGGACAGCATAGGCATTTGTGTGGAGCAGCGAAATGGCTGGGATTCATTGCAACAAGATAAAGCAGTGTGTGTTAGCACAAATGGTGAGCCATTCAGACATTCCCATGCAAACCTCCATCTATGGTGACCTGTAATATATCCCAACCATTCATTGCCTGTTGACTCAAGGTGACTTCATGAATTTCACAGGCTTAGTCAAGGAATAAGGTGGTTTTGAGAATTCCTTCCTCTGAAATATAGTCTACAGTACTTGGCATGCATTGGTAGTCTCTCATCCAACTATTAACCAGGGCTGAACCTGCTTAGTTCCCAGGATCAGATGGGATCTGGAGCCTTTAAAGTAGGTAGGCCTTAACTACGAGATAGAAACAATTATTTAGAATTGGTTAAACAAAAAAAAATATTTCAGATGGACTAGGGTGGATTGCTTATGGACTTGCAGCCTTTCAAGACTCATTTAAAGGGCCCACAGCTTAACATTTATTGGATTTTCATATATGTATGTGTGCATGCTAATGTTTTCTTAATTTTCCTGTTTCAGGGGCTGTCTTTGTAAATGGAAAAGAGATGACAAACCAGTTGCCTGCATTTACTTCGGGCTCTGCTGTGACATTTGACATGGAAGCTGTGACTATAGGTCCTTCAAACAATAATGAGGGAGGGAACTTCAAACTCAGAGTGACAATTAGTTCCAACAACAGGGAAGTGGTCTTTGACTGGGTACTTGACCAATGTTGTGGCTCTTTTTATTTTGGATGTTCGTTCTCCTGTCCAGGCTGGAAGGTGTTGGTGTTCTAACTTCTGGCCTCAGAAAAAAAGTGATGATTTTAGAGGGTTCCTCTTCCAGTGGCTGGACTCTGCGATGCAATGCTTTACTAGTGTAGGCACTTAACACATTGTGTGTGCTTAATACACCGGTGTAAGTCTGAGCAAGGGTGAGCTCCTTAATGCAGCCGCATCAACATTACTTGAACTCTGTCCTCTTTACTGGATTCCTTTCAAATACTGGTGAAACATTTTGAGTTACCTGGAAAATTATGTAGTCTTTCCTGATTGCTGTCATGTCATATGTTTTAAGAGTGAGACTTTTTTAGAAGGAAAATGTTAGAATTGATAGTACTATTGTGCTCCTGTCTATGAAAGGGTATACTTACAGATTGGCTCTAATTTTGCATAATGGTATTATTTTGGCTCAGGGTTAATGGACCAAAGTTACATGCATGGTATCGTAATCACTAGAGTAAGGTACTGATAGAGTAAAAAGTAGCTGAGCCTGTTGTCACTAATGCTTCCATCGCTGTCCACTTGGCATTGATGCCAAATATTTTCTTCCCATAGTAATATTAATGCTCTTTGCAGCTGCAGTCCAGATGCATTTGTTTTCATATGCAGCACCTGTGTGCCTTAGTTTCAGGCTTTTGTTGAACAGTAATTCCATATTGAAGATAAAATTTAAATTATGATTCTACTTTAGAATTAACTGCTACAGAATTATTGGCACTTAGGTCAAGTTATATTGATGGTGTGTATTTGGCTTCAAAAAAACCATTGCACCGAGTGCCACAGGTAGTGCCTTGACCATGATGATATTACACATTCCTGCATGTCTGTTTAGGAACCTGGCAGGAACTGGCACTCAAAATGGTTCTGAAACCAGAATGTTTGTGTTCTTCCTTGGACATGCAAGTTTTACAATAACTTAACTTACAATAACTTAATGGGCAAGAATCCTCTGGCATAAGAAGACTCCTGCAGTAAAGGAGGTACTGTTGTAAAAAAAAGAGGACATATGAACCACTCACTGGATTTTTTTATTTTTCTATGTAGTAAACAGGGTTAACAGATGTGCAGATAATAATATTGAACCATGGTGATGCCTGCATAGAGTTATGTGTACCTTATGCAGTCAAGGCTTGGCGTATGTGCCACATGGTTCGTGTAACTATGCAAGATAAACAACTCCTTTTAGAAGTTCTTAAAGAGAACGGATATGTCTGGTTAAAACAGCATGTTCTGCATAAGTGCCCCTTTACAGCAATAAGTGTGCATATGCTTTCTACTTTTGATGGCAGCTGTACTATACCATTGAATATAATCTGCTGTAGACCCAGACTGTAATTTTGAATATAAGCAAGTTGAAAAGTGATTGGTTAAAGCCGAAGAAAACCCCATGCTATGCAGTTGTAAGGCTGCACTGAGGTTGCTGTCACAAAAGCTTCAGTGGTAGTCAAGTTTTGGGAAGCAAGGGGGATGGCAGTATCCCATTCCTCGAGATGGCATCATTTTCTCCCTGTCCTGAACCCAAATTCAGTATTGGCAACAGTCTTGCTTCAGGCAAGCATAGCTGGGATCCCTGGAGATCCTTTTGTCATGCAATGCATCAGTAGAGCAAAGCAGAATATAGTGTTAGTGTATTGAGGGCATGTTTTTTTTTTCCTCAGAAAGCTATTCGTTCCTTTCCCTTCAAATACTGGTGTCCTCATGTCCCCTTTTTCCATTTGTTATATCAAATCCATATTTCTCCCATCTATTAAGCTGAAACAGAATATTTCCCTTCATCCACAGCCACCCACTAGCCTTATTTTCATGTTAAAACAGGGTGAGGGATGCGGCATTGCCTCCATAAAAATGACACAAGGAAGCCGCTCTGCCTATGGGTCTACTGTGTCTCAGTGTTGATCTGTGCTACTATATACTTGAAACAGAGTGAACAAAACCAGTGTTTAAAATGTGGTATTACACAGAAGGTGTTGGGATGGGCCCTGTTTATATTTTGGGGGAGAGGGAATCACCTTGCCCTACAGCAGAAGATGGATGGCCCTCCCTCCCATTTGTTGTATGTGGCTCTCCCTTGGCATTCAAGAGACAGGCATAAGCAATTCAGTTATGTGCATGCAAAATTCAATCCATGCCTTCTACCTATTACAGGTGAAAAAAGCCCAAATTGTACTTTCAGTTGTCTCCGGTGTGTCAAGTATTGTTTGTAGGGCTGCATGAAAATGAAGGTTTCCCTCCGACAACAGTTAAATCAGAGCCTTTGCTTCAGGGAGTGCTTCTCTGCCTCCTCTCACACGAGGAAGGAATACAAAGACTGAATTAGAAATCCTTTCTTCCTCATTGGCCTGCAGCAAACTCTTGGCCAGTTCTCATGCTCCCATTAGCTTGAATGCTTTTCTAGAGTGTGTTCCTCTCCTCACCCCACCTTACGACTGAAAAGAAGCAGCTTGTTTCTCATCCATCTTAGAGAGAGAGGAAGCTTGCTTAGGCAAGATGCGCAAAGGATCATATTCAGGAGAGATCTTAACTTGCAATTGATATAAGGACCAAAAGGTTTATGTTCAGAGGAGCCCATCTTGAAATGTGCTGTCATGAAATGCCTCACTGTTAAGCAGATTTGGTGAATTCTGCTTTACTTTCACACTTAATAAATCTATAGAAGTGTCTGTTCCTTTTTCAGACTTTACCCATACAGTGTTATTAAGGCAACCCTATTAGAAAGTTTGAGATGGAAGTATGTATGTATTTACCTCAAGATACTTTGTATTATGACTTTAATAAAGTTTATTAGTCTTTTGACTAGTATTCTATGGATATTTTTGTCTCGTCTTCCACAAAGCTTTTGGGATAGCATAAATCACTTCTGTACTCTCTTCTCCACAATATGATGGGTTATATGGTATGCGGCTTGCCAAGGATTCCCTACTTAACAGAGCTTTGAATTTGGATTACTCTGGTTCAACACTGCCAGGCTTTGGGATGGGTATCATGGTAATTTTTTAAGGTTGAAATGTTTTAACTTGATGCGTGTGTGAAATATGGAAATCGAGGGATTGTGATCACTTTCATTCTCCTCTTGCTGTTTTGAAAGTAGCTATTTTGTTCTTAAACCTCTTCATGTTAGAATCATAGAGCTGGATGAGACCCCGTTGGCCTCGTTGACTGGAGATCTTGGAAATCTGCCATTCAGATTTCAGCTAAAAGCTGACTTGTGGCAATAACAAAAACAAAAAAAGATAATGAAAAATATTCAAAGCCTGTACTGTAAGCATAAGACCCGTCGCAAAGTAGCCTCCTGCGGGAGCAAACTGTGCCAGCACGTCCCTGACGTCATGAGACTCCGCCTCTCTCCCCGCCCCTTTCTCCATGCCAGAGTGGTTTTTCCTTTGCTAGGGCAGCATTGCCAGCATACTCTCGTTGTTGAATTCCGCTCTGGGAGGTGGCTCTTTTAATTCAAATCCATTTAACTCAAATTATTTTAAGTTGGATAATGTGTTCCAAATTTGGTCCAGATCCATCAAGTCATGTAAGGAGCCACAGTGGTACATGTAGACAAACCAATGTACTTTTATACAGAGATATGTAATGAGTAGTTTTAACTTTATTATATGGATTAGTAGCCATGGCATCTTAGAGGAATGGTGGGGTACAACTTAAAACAGCCGGTACTCCAATTAGTATACTTATGTACAAATCAGCATCATGTATAAGCTGAAGGCAGATTTTGGGGCCAAAATTATGGATTTTCATGTGACCCATGGATTAACTGAGGGTCACTCTATAGAGCAGAGGACCAATGCTGCCTCAGAGGACCAGTCATCCCTGCCTGTCATTTTCCTGCCGAGGTATCAGAAAAGGATAGGTATTAATCGCTTCTCAGTTTAGTTGTGGTGCTGCTGGTAAGGACTAAGCTCTTTTCCATGTAGTCTGCTTAGGGAGGGGGTGGTTTATATGTAAGCAAGTGGGAGATCACTCCCTACTTTGCCCTGGCCAGCTCGTTTCGCCCACTGCTACTGCTGCTCTTGATGTTGAGATGATCCCGGCTGGCTGGCTAGGCTCCTATTGTTCTGGTGGCTAGTGTGCCTCTCTGTCCAACACCTAGGTGGAAAGAAGGCGTTGGGGGCGGGGGTGTGCTTTGGAGCTGCTGTCCTGGAGCTGGAAGACTATTAACCTGGGTCCCATCAGCTCAGAAGGAACAGCAGTAGCAACGGGGAAGAGGGGGCAGCTTGGGTAAAAGGGGAATAGAGATCTTAGCAAATAAATGACCCCTTTCCCTCTCTAGGCTACTCACAAAGGCAAAAGAGGTAACTTATTTGCACCCAAAGTCTGTCCGGGAAGAACCTAGAAGCACTACCAAGGAGCTACCATTTTTCCTATCAGGCACTCCTAAATGGAGTACAACAGAGACCTGTTTATACAACAACTGTGTTTTGTGTCAATTTTTGTCCGTTTTTAAAAAATGTATACAAGAGTATCCATGATCATCTTTTGTTAACAGCTTCCATCAGGCAACACAGAAAGTGGCCCCTGTGCTGTTTATTGACCTGTTATGTTATTCTAACCTCCCCTGCCCTCTGCTTTGGGACAGATGGCATCCATTAAAATAAAAGCACAGAAAGTGAGTTATACTATCCTGGTGTCTTGCCAAAAGGAGCCACATGATTTAATTAGAGCTAGCATATTACTTACATTACCAAGAAGTACAATGACTAGTTATATGAAAAACAATACAACCATGGCAAATTTGATATCAGTATATTTATATTAATAATGTTAGAAACAGAGAGTACCGTTTACTTAGTTTCCTTACAATACAAAAGCCAGGCAGGTTGTTTTAGGAGGCCTGGATTATCCTTAAAGCCATAGTATCATTGCAGTAATGCTCATTTTTACAAGGTGGGCTATGTAGGTACTTAATAAATATTTTCTGTTATGAGTTTTATTTTTATTGTTTGGTATTACTTGTTATTGTTTTTTTATTATTGATGTATTGTGGGCTCGGCCTCATGTAAGCCGCACCGAGTCCCTTGGGGAGATGGTAGCGGGGTATAAATAAAGTTTTATTATTATTAATAATCCCCCCCCCCCAAAAAAAAGGGAGGCAGCTAAAGAATTGTGTGAGGTCAGCAAGAGTTAATGTATAGCCTATACATAGCTAAAAAAATTAAGAACATTGTTGCCATGAGCAAGCAATTTTCCCTAACTTTCTAAAGCATCTATTACATTTGCTTGCAAATTCAGGATGAAACTTAAATTGGAGTTTATGGATCATGATGCAAGCAGCATGATAAATACATGTTGAACTGAAATGGTTCTACTCACAGATACTACTGAAGTGGTCGTAGGGGCCTTGCCTTTTCCTTAAAAACAAGAAGTCCCAACTAAATATGGAGAGACTGTTGAAAGTAGTCTACGCAAGTAAGAACTGCCGCTTTTATATCACACTGGAAATTAATCAGTCGGTCCATGTTTTGTTCATTTACAAAATCTTTTAGCTGGATGTCTGCCTGGCTGTGAGTCCTGCTTTTACACAACATGCACAGGAAAAGAATCACCACCACCTGGGCAGGTTTTATATTACTGAACTTTATGTACAAAATCCAATTTCAAATAAACATTTAATGTAAAAACAAAAAGGTCCATTAAACAATTGTCTTTTTTAATATCTACTGTACCATTCAAATGTTCACCCAGTTTACATGATTTCTTCAAAGCCTTGTTAAGGGTACATATAGAAAACCCATCTTTATTATAAATAGAAACAAAGGGGATTCTCCGCTCTCATTATAAATGGACATGACATACAAAGTTTACTTGACAGAAGTAATTTCATTACTATTTGGGGAGGGGGGCGGGGTCACCAACTTTTTTGTGCAAACAATGCTAGCCTCTTTTTAAGCATTAAGAGCGTGACTGCTTAAGAAGTGACATAAGCAATAGTTCTAGACTACGTCTCTCCTAAAATATCTTCTTTACATATGTGCACAGCTTTAGCAAATTAAAGCCCACGAGAAATGCTTGACCAGCTATTCAGAGGTTTATCCAGAGTTGGCTATAACTCAGAGCAGGTGAATTAGGCAGTCTAATGAAAGCTGTAGTTTCCCTCTTTTCTATCGATACAAATCCGTGACTAAGAACTTAATACTGGATGACAAATCACATCCACACCATTAGTTAAATAGTCTCACAGTTAAACACATCTTTAGGGACCAAAGTCATATTTACAGTTTTATAAATTTCTGAGAATCACCATTAGAAAGCTTCTCCCCATTCTACACCCTGCCCCCAAAAGGGAACTGCCTTCTTATGGTGCTGGAATGAAATTAAAAAAAATAATAGAAATACCAGTATTTACATAATTGATCCTTTATAAATAAAGAATATGAAAAATGAACTATTTAAGAATTAAAAAATGAGGTGATGTAACTCAACCACAGTGCTTGCTGAAATAAACCCTTGGTGCTGATATTGTACCAGTAGTGAAACTACTTTCCATGGGAAAAAACAAAATCTGTAAACATATGCTTAAATGTGTTAACAGCAGTGCAAGACTGCACAGGAACTCGTTAGCATCTGTATTGAATGCAATACATCACAGAATACTTGCGTTAAGAAGTGCAACACATTTTCGGGCCCAGTTTTACAGTGCATTTTCCCCTCAGAAGTAGCATTTGCGACTTTGTTTTGCAGTCTGTACGTAGCCAGGAACAGGCACAGATCCAGGCACTATCAGAATCCACAGATGTTAATACAATTTGCCATCATACAACCCTAGACAGTTCTGCTTATGGAGGTTCAAGGTTTGATCTGTTACTACACCAGGTGATCGGAGTTATTTACAAGTTCTGTTAGGTGATGGTAACAATGAAGGTGGAACTTTCCTATGATTTTCATGAGGAAAGCAAGCAGTCTCTCCCTCCCTCAACAGGCATGAGACAAAGAAGTGCTCTTTTACAGCTGAAGAATTAAAATGTGTTTAAAAATTTCAATCGGTAGTTTTGACTGTTATCAGTACAAATTAAAAAAAAGAGAGATTGAGTTAAACTTTAAATGGTTCATTATTTCCCACAAAAAGTTAACCTAAGGAATATCTAAATACAAAGCATAAACTGTCCCCACATCCTTCCCTAATTTTCAACTCCACAGTAGGAAAGACAGCCAGTACAGATGCAAAAATCTTTATATAAAAACTGGTTTACATATACTCAAGTTATGTAAATTCAGTACAATTCATAATTAAAAGTCCCAAAAATTGTATTGCTCTTCATGCTCAAACTTTGAGTATTGTCATTACATCACTAGAACTGATATACATGTAGTACTTGCATAATTAACTCAATGGGAACCATATTAACACTATGCTTGTTGAAATCCTTTGTTTCCAGCAGTGCCCTCGAAGAACCTGTGTATCTTATTCAATTCCTTTAGAGTCCATGCTTCTTTGACTGTCACTTCTGTATCAATAAGGCTTGCTCTTCTTTTCAGATCTTCTGTTTTCTATTCTGTTTTGTCAAGCATGAGATATTATCCATTTCTGATGACCGTTCCCTAGTGTTAGCCTCGTTGCAGCCATTGACCATCCCATTTTGTTCCTCAGAAAGCTCCTCGGTCGCTGTTGTAGCAGGAGACTCCCCCTTTTCTAACTTCTGCTGCATTTCTCGGAGCTTGGTAACAGCCTTGTCAATTGACATTATACTAATAAGATTAAAGTCATGCATGCTGACCAGGTGGAGCATGAAGTTTCGACACAAGTTTTTCTTAATTATTTTGTGTCCATAATTTTCTACAAACAGCATACAGGCATG